CATTGTGAGCAGCAGATTGAGAGCAGGGTCAGCCTGGCAGGACGGGGCTGGTGATACTCACAGGCAATGAAGCTCCAGAGGTACAGCCCGACAGGACCGTGCAGCGTTTCGTAGGGGCTGCCAAAAGCATTGAACATGAAGAACCCTGCTCCCACCAGAGCAAAGATGATCAGTACTGTGCAGAAGAGAATGACACTAACGTGGATGCTTGCAGGGATAACTTTGAGCAAATCTGGAAAAACTGGAAACAAAACAAACACAACATTATTATGTACATTAGGTAAAGTTGTCCCTGAAATCAGACTGGGGGTTCCTGCTGGTTTGTGGTAGTTGTTTTAATCCTGCTCTTCTAAATGCAACCAAAGAAGTTATTAACTAGAAATGGGTTTTCATGGATGTGTTGAGGCAGAAATATTCTGTGGAACTCAGAAGCATAGACTGGTCAGGAGAGAAAGCTCCAGGGGAAGCCTCTCCTCCCCTTCCTGGAGGTGGTATTTTGTCCTTAATATGAACAGGATATTTTGGGGGAAAAAGAGTGGGAATCTGTATCTGTGGAGGCAGGTTTGCCTTGCAAAGTGGCCTGGAGGGCTCTCACCCCCCAGAATTATGGGCTTGGCCATCACTCCTCTTTGGGGATGGGGGAAAATAAATCCAGAAACAGATTTCCTGTTTTCATTTGTGCTTATGATGTCCCATGGAAGGATGTGACATTGGAAATGAATTTTTATTGTGATTATGAATGCACAAATTCAGGAATAATTTATTTTAAATATTTTTATGCAGCTTTTTAGATACTATTTCAAACCGTGATCCTTCTTGGCTGGAGTGTAGGGGGATAGTCAGTCAGAGAGCATGAGAGAATGATTTTTAATCATTCCTGTTTGTTTGGCAACAACAGGTATTGTGGAAGGAACAGTGAAATACACTTTACTGCTCCTGATCCATGGGGGTATGATTAAAGTGGGGGAAAACATGCAGAACTGTGGATTTAATAATACAGCTTTGTGTTGTTTATTTTAAGAAAACAATTTATGGCATGGTATGGAATCCTTCCCATGGCACCTGCATCTACAGCTGTTTGTCATTGAAATTTTACATGTGACATACCAGGAAAAATCAATTCTAGCAGCAATGTTGTCTTGAAAGGAAAACACTGTCTGAACCTGTGTGTGGCAGAGACCTTTAGAAAATGAACTGCTGACCCAGAAACTGATGGGAATGAGCAGGAACAAATGGAGCAGAAGCTTTCCCCAGCTGAACTGGGTTTGCTGGCAGAGCAAATTCATATTATAATTAAAAGAGATATAGTGGTCAGAGGGGAGCATTTAATGGGAACGAGCATGGAACTAAATCATTTAGCCTGTTTTCTGATCTCCTCAGACACGTTGAAGTGCAGTGAGTGCATTAAGCTCTGGCTGTGTATTGTGTATGTTTGTCCTGCTCTCTGGAGTGCTCCTGCTGAGCTCCTGG